TAGCTTTAGTGAAAATTTGAGATCATAAAGCTACGATCTTACTGGACAACGTCGATGTGACACTTATGGCACAATTGTCTCAACCCTCACTTTTTACCTGATATGCTGGGCAATGATCTAGTGAGATATTAGAATTACATAATATTTTAAAAAATCATTCAATTTGTCTCCATGTTAATTAATATGCCTACATACCGACGAACCAAATAATTGATATAATTGGTACTACTGTCAGATACACTTTGACCAGTTGATGTATTTTACAAAATCATCACTGGGATGAGTTTGTCCTTTGGTATTACCCCTACGACACATTTTTTCTTTTTTGAAATATGTTGGGCATCGTTTCTACAACTAAAATTTGTTTTCTATTTGAAATTATAATTGACATTACTGTCGGATAGACTTGGTCCAGCTGATGTATTTTAGAAAATCATCACTGGGATAAGTATGTCCTATAGTTTTATCACTGTTTTTCTTTAATTAGCTACTTCGGACGCTTTCGGCACACTCACACTTGACGTCATTACTATGGGATACATTGAGCCCAGCTGATGTGTTTTACAAAATCATCACCGGGTTGAGTCTGTCCCTTAATATTGTGCGTCTAACCGCCACCTCGAAATCAAGACAATAACCTCGTCAAACTCTTAGTATGAATTTACACCTGAAAACACACTCACATGTTTGGTTTATTAGTATGTCAATTTATGTAGTTCCGTTTGATTAGCTTTAGTGAAAATCTGATGTCATAAAGCTACGATCTTACGGGACAACGTTGATGTGACACTTTTGGCACAATTGGCTCAATCCTCACTTTTTGCTTGACATGCTGGGCCATGATCTAGTGAGATTAGGATTACATAATATTTTAAACAATCATTCAATTTGTCTCCTTGTTAATTAATTAAGTTAACAGATACGAAGACGAACCAAATATTTAATATAATATAATTGGTACTACTGTCGGATAGACTTGGCCCAGTTGATGTATTTTACAAAATCATCACTGGGATGAGTATGTCCTTTGGTATTACCTCTACGACACACATTTTCTCTTTTTTGATATATTCTGGCCATCGTTTCTACAAATTTGAAATCATAATTGGTATTACTATCGGATACGACTTGGTCCAGCTGATGTATTTTAAAAATTCATCACTGGGATTAGTATGTCCTATAGTTTTATCACTGTTTTGTTCAATCAGCTACTTCGGACACTTTCAATACATTCACACTTCACGTCATTACTACGGGATATTTTGAGCCCAGTTGATTTGTATTACAAAATCATCACCGGGTTGAGTTTGTCCCTTGGTATTATACGTCTAGCAATTACCATCTCGAATTCAAGACAATAACCTCGTCAAACTCTTAGTATGAATTCACACCTGAAAAACACACTCAGATGGTTGATTTATTAGTATGTCAATTTATGTCGTTCCGTTTGATTAGCTTTAGTGAAAATCTGATGTCATAAAGCTACGATCTTACGGAACAACGTCGATGTGACACTTCTGACACAATTGTCTCAACCCTAACGTTTTATCTTAAATTCTGGACAATAATCTAGTAAGATATTAGGATTACATAATATTTTAAACAATCATTCAATTTCTCTCCTTGTTAATATGTATACATAACGGCGAACCAAATAATTATTGTAATATAATTGGTATTACTGTCGGATACACTTGGCCCAGCTGATGTATTTTACAAAATCATCACTGGGATGAGTATGTCCTTTAGTATTTCCCCTACGACAGATTTTTTCTTTTTTGAAATATTTTGGTCATCGTTTCTACAACTAAAATGTGTTTTCTATTTGAAATTATAATTGATATTATTGTCGGATAGACTTGGTCCAGCTGATGTATTTTAGAAAATCATCACTGGGATGAGTATGTCCTAAAGTTTTATCACTGTTTTGTTCAAGCAGCTACTTCGGACACTTTCGATACATTCACTCTTTACGTCATGACTACGGGATATATTGAGCCCAGTTGATGTGTATTACAAAATCATCACCGGGTTGAGTTTGTCCCTTGGTATTATATGTCTAGCAATTACCATCTCGAATTCAAGACAATAACCTCGTCAAACTCTTAGTATGAATTCACACCTGAAAAACACACTCAGATGGTTGATTTATTAGTATGTCAATTTATGTCGTTCCGTTTGATTAGCTTTAGTGAAAATCTGATGTCATAAAGCTACGATCTTACGGAACAACGTCGATGTGACACTTCTGGCACAATTGTCTCAACCCTCACGTTTTACCTTAGATTCTGGACAATAATCTAGTCTGATATTGCGGTTACATAACGTTTTAATGCACCTGGTCAAACAAATTCAACATCACGATTAGGCATACTTGGTTCAGGGGATATTTTAAAAAATTATCACCGGATTGAGTGTGTCCATTTGTTTTGTTGGAATAGTCACATCTCGCAAATTTATCCAGAAAACAAGATGCATTTTGGTAGTTCCTTAAATTGTAAGCTAGTTAAAACGACAATTTACTTCGTTATTGAAGTTTGTACAACTGTCGGATACACTAAGCCCCAGCAGATGTACCTAACAAAATCATCACTAGGTTAAGTTTGTCCTTTGGTATTACCTCTACGACAGCACAGCTATTATTGTGAATTAGGTACATTACATTCAACTCAGATGATATATTAACATAACTATCATTGGGCTGCGTATGTCTATTTTGTTAAAATAGCAGCATTTTGATAGCTGAAGGTAGCATGATGATACGAGATTACACTAGGTAGGAATCTTCTCATATTTTTTACTAATCGTTATTTTTCTTCAAAATTTTACTTTTTCAGATTGTGACCGGTAACTACCTCACAGTTGATGCTGGATTCTAAACTCATCTAATGAAAAATTCTTCACTGGATTGAGTTTGTCTTGCAGTTGCATCAATTTTTGGTTGAGCATGCCCATTCTACGTCGTTCTATTGGATCAGTTTTAATGAAAATTTGAAATCATAAAACTGAAATCTAATTGAGCAACGTTGACAGGCACTCTTCTCTCGCCAAAAATCAACTACTTCAACCATCAGCATCCACGATGAATTCCACAGAACAATACGTCAAACTTGTTTAGTGTAAATTCAATATAACTATCGGACATATTCGGCTCAGTGATTTTTTAAATAACTGTCACTGGGTTGAGCTTGTCTGTTTGCTTTAGTTGAATAATTGCATCGTGAATAACTTTAGGGAGTGTAATTTTAAACATTTTAGTCTTTCCTCAAATTACCGGTACAATTTACTTTGCACTTAAAATTAAAACTGGTATTATTGTCGGATATACTGAACTCAGCTGGTGTAATATACAATCATCACTGGGTTGAGTTTGTCCTTTAGTATTGCCCCTCCAACACCAACTATCTCTGCTTCAATACGATAATCTATACAAACTTTATTGTGAATTTAGCATTACAAGCAGACACATTCGATTCAGATGATATTTTACATACGTATCACTGGATTGAGTGTGCCTGTTAGTTTTGTTACAATAAGTACATCACTGGTAGAAATACTGTTTTTCATAAATCGGAATGAATATTTATTTGTTCTAGCATTTGATTACTTTTCTAGTTGTTATCAATGTAAATAACTTCATTATTTGTTTTGTATTTAAATCAAAGTTTGTCCTTGTAGTGTGCCATTTTATATCGTTCTATTGGATTAGCTTTACCGAAAACTTAAAAACGTAAGGCTGCGATCGAATGGGACCATGTGAATATGGCAACTCTCCCTCTCGGCAAAAATGAAATTGTTTGAGCATACGTCGACAGTAGACAACTGCGCGAATTCTTTTCACGTGTTTTTTTACATATCATCGGGCAAATATTTCATAAATCGGGTTTTTCTTTTGTGTTTAAACCTGAGGTTGACACTACTACCGGATACACTGACCTCCGCTGATATATTTGTACAAAATCATTATTAGGTCGAGTTCGTCTTTTAGTGTTGTCACTTCAACCATCCCTCGGATTAGAGATTACTAAACTCTTATTGTGACTTATATGTTACGACTGGACACATTCGACTCAGATGATAATTTAAATATTTAAGTATCAGTGGGTTGAATTTGTTCGTTTGTTAAATTACATGTCAACACGCTGAGAAGAGCATTATGAACATCGTTTAATTTAGTTTTATTACTGATTAGGGTTCTGTGATTTTTACCGAATAATTTCAATTTTATCTCATTGCTGATACGAATCGTGTTTTTCGCCGAACGAGGTGGATATCTATCAAATATTTTAAACATTCTTTTAAAATCGTTTCTCTAATTGTTGCCAAGATAGATAAATTCACAATTTGTTTTACACTTAAAATTAAAGTTGGACATGCTGAGCTCAGATAATGTATTTTACTAGACTTAGGGGGATTCAATATGTCGCACCGTTTCAGGTGGTTCTATTCAACAAAGTTTCATGAAACCTGGAAAGATGTCCACTACATTACATACACTTCTTAACATGAACTGATTAATTGGCTATGGATTTTGAAGTGAGTACAATGAAAAGTTAGAAAATAGGACATACAACGTTGTACGTGCAAGGTGACAAAACATGTTTTGAATGTTTTTTTAATCATATGTAAATGGGCATTCCACAATTGTTTACATACATAACGTTATGTACTTATTGCATAGTCTATTTGAATACACGTCGACTAATTAAAAAAATAAATAAATAACACACGTTTTTCAAATTACGTTTTATAGAAGAATAAATTTCAAAACCAATGATTTTTTTTTAATTTCTTCATTAATTTTAAACTCTCTTACGCCCGCCCTCATTTCATAGTTTACTATTTATTAAAATCTATTTTCGTCAAAAATTTTTGTTTACGTATATTGTGATCTGCTAATGAGTAATGATGTGGAAAACTCCTTATTGACTAACCTAGTCAAGACAGATGACTTTTTCACAATGTTCAACTTTTTAATTGGTACCAAAATTTTTCATTACCTTATTGCTTAAACAAGCTTGGAAATCTGTCTTCATCTCAGAAACAGAAACTCGATCATTTGGCCTTTTTGGTCCACTGACAGAGGAAACCACTGTTGATAAATCCAGATTCACGGTGTGACTAAATATTGGTTCATTTTCTTCATTTGTGTAATTTCTCAACTGATCTGTAGCCTTCAAATATGCTCTAATTAGCTCTATTTGCTCTTCTGGTCGACCTATGAATTAATTATGAAAAGTAAAATTTAATTACTAATTGTATTAAAGTTACTTGTTTGCCTTAAATAGTTTAGAGAATGTTCATCTACTGGGAAAAATCCTACTGTAGCTCCATATTCAGGACACATATTTGCTATTGTCGCACGATCTGCAATTGACAAAGCTGCAACCCCTGGTCCATAAAATTCTACAAACTTTCCTACAACTCCCAACTGTCTCAAATGCTGAAACATTTTTTAATAAGGTAACAGAACAAATCTAAAATGAATGAATCTACTTTTGTTATAGTTAATACTAAATCTGTTGATGTAACATATGGCCCCAAAGATCCATACAGTCGATAACCAACAACTTTTGGAAGTAACATACTTATAGACTGACCTAACATTACAGCTTCTGCCTCGATGCCACCCACACCCCACCCAAGAACACCTAATCCATTTATCATTGTTGTATGTGAATCAGTTCCTACCTACAAAAGTTATTTTCATTATTTAATTAATTAAGTAATCTCAAATTCCAACATACAACTGTGTCTGGATATAAAATTGGTTTGTCCGAACCAGTAAATACCACCCTTGCAAGGTACTCAAGATTAACTTGATGCACTATACCACTCCCAGGTGGTACAATCAACATGTTATTAAAAGCTTTAGCTCCCCACTAGAAATGTAAAAATAAAAAAAACACGCATAATAAATATCATTAAAACATACTTTCAAAAATGTGAAGCGTTCTTGATTTCTTTCAAATTCTAATTCTTCATTTTTTTTCAAAGCGTTAGGCCTGCAGAACATGAAGTTTTATAGATAAAATAAATTGTCACAACTTACGATCTAGCAAAATCAACTTGAACTGAATGATCGATAACAAGATCTGCGGGACAACTGGGGTTAATTTTTTCTGGATCTCCTCCTAACTCTTTAACAGCGTCTCTCATAGCTGCAAAGTCCACAACAGCCGGCACACCTGTAAAATCCTAAAAATTGTTTCAGCGTTATGCATTCTTAACATAAAATAATTTGACACCTGCAGGATCACTCTTGCTGGTTTGAATGGGACTTCAATGCCCCCTTCCAGTGATTGATTATTTTCCCAGTTCAAGATATTTTGAACATCTTGTTCTTTAACTTGAAAATTATCACAATTTCTGACGGCCGATTCCAGTAATACTCTAATAGAGTATGGTAACCGAGCTTCGAGAATTCAGAAAATTAAGAACACATAAACAGCATAATAAATTTCTTACCATATTGGTTACCCAAAGCTGATAAATCATAATATTGATATTCTTTGGATCCTATCGTTAATGTTTTTAAATGCTTATCAAAAGGATTGGCTACAAAAAAAAATATTTGAGAAAACTTACCTTTACATATAACTCTTAACAAATTTTTAAAATCTTTATATTTATTATGATAATAATAACTTAACAATACACTGCGAACATTCTACTCACCAGCCATGATTTACAACTTGGTAGTCACGTAGCAATTCTAGAATAATACAAAACGAACTCTGGATTGTTAAGAATTAAAATCCACTACTAAACAACACAGAAACCACAAAAATTTACTTTTATTTTTCAACAAATATCTGATATCGTATCAGTAACTTCACTAAGGTCAATTCGAAGCACTACTCAGCATTTAAAAGTCCACAAATAATATGACACACAAAGTTTTCAGGTTATGTTTAACATTTTTTTTAGGAAAGTGAATGCAAATTAAGTACGAATTGCACGACCTGTGACAAACGCAGTTGTACACTTAGTTTTTTTTCTCATGAACACTAAAAATAAAACTGTGAAGATTAAGTTTGAATGTTTGTGTTGTAATATTATTTTCAAAAACAGAAAGAAAATATTGATAAAATAGAATTCAAATTCAGGTGCACGCGCAGTGGAATTCGCCCTTAAGACATTAGAAAGTTCCAGGATGAATTTATCAATTTTCAAGCCTCAAATCACATTCAGTTAATAAAATAAGTCTTATTACCTTTTTTTTGAAATTAAATTTCTGTAGTGGCACCTTATTGAAACAAATTGTACATTTTAAAGACACTATAACGTATTGTGTAGTCTTACAATCAATTAATCAAGCTAATAAAAAACTATTTTATAAGTATACATATATATAGAACCTCAGGGTAAAGGTCAATATATCACTTTATTACAATTAGCAATGTTGTTTATCATTATTAAAAAAATCTTTAAAGTTACATAATTTCGCTGGCTTTTGAACTATATGTAAATAATGTACCGCGTGCATCTGAGAATTTTTTAGAAGTGTATTAACTTTTTAATGTAATCGCAGTCATATTAATGATAATATAATCAAAAATATTATAGAATTAGTAGAGCCATTTTTGTTTAAGGCATTCATATAACAAAACTGTTAGTCCATCATTTATTTCTTTGAGACATTCTGTATTAACTTTTGGATAAAATAAGGGCAAGCACAAGGAATGTGGCATCATAATGCTCATTTTAAGAAACACTTATTTCATTTTCTTTTATATAATATAAAGTCATCAAATGTCTGTAAACGATGAATGCGGAAAATTTAATAAATTTAATATTTTGCAATTACTAAAGCAGTCTTTATATCTCATGGAAATTTCAAAAAATTCTGTTAAAACTGTACAGAAAATTTCCTTCTTTTAGTCAGGTGCGGGTGGTACCAGGGGACACAAAGGCACGTGCCCCCCAAAATTACAACGTCTACAAACACACTGGACATTGCAAAATAATAATTTTCAATATTTAAAAAATTATCCGGAAGTTTGTCATAATTATCAAAAGTATAATTTTTTTATCTCGCTCGATTTGTATCAAATACATCAAAACATACATCAAACGATATTGTATCTTGAATATATCGTTGGTAAGGTCTCGATAAAAACGAAGACCCAATCATGACACATTTAGACTTTTTGTTTACACAGTTGCCATGGAAACCGCGCCTCTAGCCGCTGTATTTGGCTGGAATGGGTCACATTTTGCGCGAGTAAAATTGTTTGATTTTAATAAATAAAAATAATAAATTCAGTCGAATATTTAATAAAAAATCGTCCTCTGTTTTACGACGATAAAGTTGTAGTGAACAATTTAGGGATAATCACTCCCGATTTATTAATAAAAAAAGTATTCATGGCAAAACGAGAGATTTTCATAAATATTTTAATATCCATAACACATGATATTTTTTGTGGATGTGCGGTTGTGAAAAAAATAATGAATTGTTTTGTTTTGCGTGTCCCCTCAGTAATGAATGAGTTAAAATCGCAGAATTTTGTCTATTAATTGGTAATAACAGTCTGTTTTGTATCTTAATATTTAACGCATCAATCAAATAGTGTCCCCCCATCGGTCACGAGCCGCCATTGCTTTAAATATACAATATATACAGTGTCCCAGATAAAACTGCGTGATCTTATATATCTTGATTTTCTTGATAACTGATAGAGATGTTGAAATTCTGTAAACGCCATTGTGTTTATCTTGAAGGGGGCTTAATTTAGTGTATTGCAAATATAACTCATATATGCGTCGGGGCAAACATATGCTTTTTAAACTGCAATGCATATATTTTATAACGAATTTTGATCATCAAATTACGACATTAAAAAAATAAAACAATTTTTTCTAGCTAAAGTTCACTTAACAACAGAACGAACTAAAATAAATAACATACCACATGTAATATAATATAAACAGCATGAGGTGACTTTTTATCTTAATAGGTAGTTGATAAAGTCGCGGATTTTATACATATGTAAAATTTATGGATAAGTTTTGCCGAGTTAAGGTTATTAGGTCAAACAATAACGAAAATCAGAATTTCTCAATCATTATTCGGTCACATGAATGAATCTAAATTAATAAGGCTTTTGTGAAGGTACCAGTTTTTATCCTCTGACAGCATCCATAGGATTCTAAGGATTTTTAACTTTGAATATAACAACAAAATTAAATTTGAATTTTGGTAGAGGAAGTCATTGTATAACAAACTAAAACAAAAATGTGTTACACATAGGTATGTAGTTTACTCCAAATAATATGTGTAAAGTGTGAACATAAATCTTTTTAAGTGCCCTATAATTTTATAAGAAATCACAAATTCATTACACAGATCTGCAAAATTTAAATGTTAAAGCCCTGTTTTTGTTTTAACAAACTGTAATAGTCGCCTAAAAAACGATGTGTTGTGTACCTTGGCCAAAGAGAATTCTGATTTCTAGGACTTGACGCCTCGGGTTCAAACTTCAGATAGACCGAAAAAGTTCTTCTTTATGGCCTTGATAACTATTATTGTCGTTAAGCACACTTATTATACAGGTTAGTATAAAATCCCGGAACGACTGAATAACTTTGTTATTTGAAAAGTTTTTTTTTGGAAAATTTGTGTGGACATATAGTTAAACATGGCGACTTGATTACAATATTTTTCCTTTTTTTTATCGCTATCGGTTTGAAACACAATGCCGCCTATTTTTTTTTTTTAATAATAATCACCCAGATTTTTTTTACATATTTGATGCAGAATAAAAAACTAATTTCAGAAATTATCAACATGTTTACTTTTACTGATATAAAAAAACTAATATTGTAAAATCACGTCATCTTTGAAAATACTAATAATGTCTCAATGAATTGTGTATGATTTTACAACATTAAACAGTAGAAATAAACATGTTGAAAATTTCTGAAAGTAATTTTTAATTCTGCTTCAGAAAATGTCAAAAAAATCTTAATGTTCCATAAAAAAAAAGTAGGCGGCCCTCGGTCTGTCAAACCGTGAGCGATAAAAAAAGGAAAAATGTTGTAATCAAGTCGCCATGTTTAACTATATATCCAAAGCAAATTTCAGAAAAAAACTTTTCAAATAACAAAGTTATTCGACCGTTCCGGGACTTTATACTAACCCTGTATATATAATATAGGTATTAAGGTATTATTTAACATTAAAAAAATTGGTGTAAAGTTATTTAAACAAAACTGAAGTATAGGTGAACAAATAACAGATTCTTCTAAAAATTATAAAATTTAATTACATAAATTTAAATAATTGCTGTAAAGTTATTTAAACAAATAACAGATTCTTCTAAAAATTATAAAATTTAATTACATAAATTTAACTTTTTTTATGAAAAGTTAAAAAAGATGGATGTGGTCTATTAAAGTACAGGTAAAGAAGCATGCTGTGTCTGTATTTCAAGTGAGTTAAAAAAAATGTTCTGTAACGTTATCAACATTTTAATAAGTACATGTATACCTACGTTGAATAAGTGCACTGTAATACTACTAGTATTATCTTTGCCATTCTACTGAAACATTACCTGTTGATTTTGCTTAAAATTTTGCAATTAGTTGGAAAATTTACGACCAACAAGTGGTGTTTCAATGAAAATGAGAGAGGCTATTATGCTCATATTATCAAGAAAATGGGATGAGCCATTCTTGATTCGATCAATAAAATAGATATTCTCATTCATTAATATGTTTGAGTTACCCTGTTCTAAAAGATATGAAAGCATCTATAAACCGTAAGTATACTATTTTATTTTAGATGGGTTTTATTGGGCCAAATTTTTAGTCATAATTTTTGTAGGGCTATAAATGGATAAATTAAAAATTTTGATTAACGATTTACAATGCCTACGATAACCTTAAAACGTTTGCAAAATTTCAGAGCATTCGATTTAGCAGTTTCAAAATTAAATTGCAAAATGCCGTTATACAATTTTGATTCTTTTTTAAATCTGGATGTTTAGGGTAAAAACTCAACACGGTTTCATAAACCACAAGTGCAGGAGTTTGTTATTCTATAAAATTTAAATAACATATGTATACTTACTATTGTAAATTTTAAAGATGAGGTCATCCCATTGATGATGGGGATAATCCGACAAATTTTGATTAGCATTTTACCATCTACACGATACCTACTTCTAACGTATATCATAAAATTTGACAACAATGGGTCCAGTAGTTTAGAAGGTTACCTACATAATAAAAATTGACACAGACAATAGACGACGGAAAAGCGAGACCTACTTTTCGAAATCACGAAACGTCGAGAAAACATGAAAGTAACCATTCGTCGTATGGACCCTATTGCAATATTTCCTTAGCTGACAGTCAAGAAGTACTTATAACAATGAATAAATAATTTATTAAACAAATGGTAAGGAGTTGAGGATCATGAAACTGCTTTATTTACAATCATATGGAATAAAATTCTGCATCGAGTAAATCTTTACAATCTAATATTGACTACATAATTGTTAAAATTACGTCACTATTAAAGAGTTTGGAAATTTTTATTATATCAAAACCAAGATAATCAAAATTTAACAGCCATAATTTGAACGAAATCGAATCAGAGTGATTTTTAAATTACGCTGTGCGGTCTAGTATGCTTTGCCACGTGTCATAATTAATCATGGTGGAAATTGTGACATTTGATATATGTGTGTAATTACAACAAGAATATTAAAATTAAAAAGAAAGCATTAAAATATTTTGTAATTAATTTAATAGCATCTTTGTGTATTTTGAGAAATTAGTGTTTAGTGAGAAGAATCATAAAGATGTTGGAATCCACTGAATTAGATTACGAATCGATGCTGAAAAGTTACTCTGTTCAGGTAACGAAGAATTTGCTGGTTATTCTTTAATATTCGCCTATTTTTTTATAATGCCATGATAAATTGAAAAGTCTCTGGCCGATTCCATATAAGATACAAATTTGCGTGATATTTTTACGGTGTTATATTGTTTTAAGATTAATCATTCTGACTGTGGAATCACAAATATTTTTGTCAGATAATAATAATTTGACAGTCTGTCAAATTTGCGAAAGTAGGTAAGCAGCTATAAGAATGGAACAATTGAAATTCGTGTAATAATTAAATATTTTCATATTAGGGGTTTATTCCCAAAAGAAATTAAAGCTGAGGTAAACGGCACATTTTATTTTTCCGTCGACCTGAAAAGTTTTGGCTTCAGTTTTTTGGAATGCCAAGGATGTTTTTGTGGATTATCTTAAAATGGGTGAAACAATCACCGGGACATACTACGTTACCCTATGTTACCAGCTAAAAGAAAAAATTTAAAAAACACCCGGATTAATAAAGAAAAAATTCTGTTTCACCAGAATAATACATCCTGCTCCAAAAGTCAATTATTGCTATGGTAAAAATTAACGAACTACTCTTTGAATTGGCACCCCATGCTCCCTACTTGCCGAACTTAGCCCTCTAGGATTTTATTTTATTCCATACTTGAAAAAATTTCATAGTGGAAAGAAGTACGAGTCCGTATTTAGACCAGTTGGAAGAACGGGGTATAGGGATATGGAATAAGAATTCTTAAACATAAGTGGCATTGAACTTTACGGGGATTACGTTGAAAAATAAAATTCCTTTTTAAGCGATATTCTTTTGTTTTCTTGTGCGGACAGAAGGCTTTTCAATTTATCCTCGTAAATCATTTCAAACATGTCAAAATTCTAGTTACTCTCAAGTATTCAGCAAACGAAATTAGGAGGAAATAATTATTCCACTATTTACTGTGTAAAATTAGAATTAGGAAACAGTTGTACCATCACAACAAATACAGTACATATTATTGTCAAAAAATTTGTCGAATTTGGAAATACCGATGTCCAAAAAACGCTAGTATATATGTTGGATATATTATAATGATACAATTTGTTGTAAATTAAAAAAGCCCTTTTGCTAATAAAAATAGGCAACCTAACAATAGTACCTGCTTAATATATTATGTATAGTAGAAGTAGGAACTAACCGATCCGTAGATAATAATCAGAATCACTAAAAATTTATCTTTTCAATTTCTTTTTCTCTACTTGCTAAAGAGAGTTTTTCCAGATTTGAAGCACTTGTTAATTATAGGTGGTTCCGAATAAAGCGTTGTGTCACTGTTCCAATTCTGTTAGCATAATACAAAAACTAATTGTTTCTTATTTGTTTGTTTTGTTTTGTAATGTTCATGGAAAAAGTAAATACTTTTTATCTTCTACGAAATTCCATTGAGTTTATAGTAGGTAACTCTGTTTTAAATAATTATTCTTCTATGTTTTAATTTGAGATAAATCATAATGTTGTCTACTACCCATACCTCAAAAATTAACATTTCTAAAAAACTGTTTTACAAAATAAGTATTACAAAAAGACATCTTCTTGCTTTATAAAAATTTTAGACACGCAATTAAATTGTTTTCAGGAATAAAGGAAAATAATTTGTAAATTATACTGATTATTTCCATCAAAAAATTCATGACGTGTTTGGATTTAAAAACATTAAACGGACGTAATTTTGAGAGGGTTTTTATAATCTGTTATATGAGCTTATAATAAGCTGATAAGATAACGATAACTGTTATAATACTCTTGATTATTTTTTCCTATATGTTCCTATTTTTTTTTAATATAAAGGGTGTTTCAAAATGATTTTCATCTAGTTAGCTTTAAAATCGCTTCAACTCCTATCTTTCCCTTGATGAAAATCTGCAACCATAGGCAATTAGATGAAAATTATTTTGAAACACGTTGTATAAATAATTAATATGTCCAACTTTTTACTTGCGTCATAAACGAAATATTACTAATTTTGGTTATGTTTTTTGTTTTTTAGAAGCTGTTTTAACAAAGTACGGATTATTAATTATTATTATAAACGTTTCTTACATCGTAGGTGTTATTTCAATCAAGGGCATTTTATCGAAAGCTACTTAGATGGTCCTCCAAAGTGAAATTTGAGGAATAAAATACGCAACTAATAAATAAAATATTAAGAGGATTGTATTGGTAGCTCAACCAGCAGATTTGTAGAAACAATTATTATGTTTGAAGGTGGAATATAATATACCATACAGGGTTACTAAAAGTATGAATACAACTAAATATTTCCAGAACGATTTATCAGAACTCATTGAAATTTGGTACACAAGTAAAAGTACTTCTTCAAGTTGGCCTTGTATCTCTAAAATAGATGTTGAAAATTTCAACATTTCAGAGGATAGAGTTTAAATACTTTTGCCTGTGCATCAAAGTTCAATGAGTTCTGATAAACCGTTCTGGAAATATTTAGCTGTATCAATACCTTTTAGCAACTTTTTTTATATTGCTACTTACCATTTACAACAATCACTTTTTTTATATTTTTTAATGTAAGAAAATTGTATCAACATGTAATTTTTTTCTTTTTATAGGATGTTGCACTGGAGCAATCTTGTAAGCAAAGAGCGGTTTTTTATAATATCTATGAAGAAACCCTTCAAGAGTACAAAGAAGTAAAAGACGATTATCTAAAGAGCAATGAAGAGCATCAAACTCTACACGCAAACTTTACAGGAAAATTAAACATAAAAAATTCTTTTAATCAGTTGCACATGATTCCTAATTCTAAACTAAACGAAATTCAAAGAGAAGTTTTAGCCATATATGAAATGATGTCCACTGATTCGTAAGTTAGGAAGTAGTTGTTACTCATTTGTATACCTAATCTTTAAAATTAGGGATAATTTTGTGGATGCAGTTGATACTTCCGTGGAAAAGTTTCAGAGCTTGGGATCAGAGTTTGTATGTTAAACAATTATATACCTAGTTAGGGACAGAAATGACTTAAGTGGAAATTACTTAAAAGCATATACATGATAAATAAAATAAAGCAACATCAATATATGTTTGATCACGAAGTCACTTCTGTGAACTACCATAACCTGCTAAATAAACATTGCTAAATCAATTTAAAAAATTTGATATGCTACCATTACAACGTAGATATCAGTGGCTACAAATGTCAAACTTTAAATTACGCAGACATAACTTTTTTTTTTCATTTAGCAGGCGATGATACACATATTCAGGTTACAACAATTTATATCTGAATTTATTTTTGTAGGATGAAAGTGCGATTTTAAAAAATAAATCTGAATGTATAAAAAAAACAGAGGTTCTCACGCAAATAATTAAAGAACACGAGTCTAAGTACTATATTTTAACACATTGCGAAAAGGAATATGAATATACAAGAATAGCGTACAATTTAAAAAAACAATTTTTAAATAACCTGCTTGACTATTACGAACCGCATAAAATCATATCAGGTATATCTGAAAATAAACAGCATTTGGCTCTGTTAACGAAGAATATAGAGTTTTTGAAGGAAAGAAATCGTGAATTTGAAGACCAGTGTCAAGCTTTCAGCAATTAATTAGCTACCACTATTATTTAGAATGTATCTATTTGTGTATTCACAAACTTGTAGGTACGAAATTTAGAATTAGTATTTTTCATTTTTGCAAAATGAATGAGTATTTTTGTATTTTCATTAATCGATTTAGAAATTACATATGTTACAGCATTATATTTTAATTTTTTTTTTACCCTAGACAAATATAAATATGTTATTGTTTCCAGGCTTATATGTTGTCCAAATCCAGAATTTTACAAGCTCTGCAATCATGTATTGTAGGGAATTTTTATTTTTCAGCATTAGCGATAATTAAATAGTAATAACTAGTTCTAAAGTAATAATAGGTAGAGTTCCCTCAAACATATAAGGCGTTTATGACTTCACACCAATTTAACTCCCATTATAATTCAATAGGCCGTCACAACCGGATGTCCTAAACCCGCTCACCGATACCTACCTGAAAAGACCTTTTCTGGTAAAAGCACAGGGCAGGACTGAGTTTTGCATTTACCGACAACTGCACCTTTCGATTTTTTTATTTTAAGTAAAAACAAAGTAACTTTGTACTCAATCATTTTTTATTACAGCAAATTAGTTAGAATTTTGACATACACAACTATTTACTTATTAACTACTACTACTGCGTATTTATTGATCGAAATAGTCACTGTCATCATCACTCGACTCTTCTAAATTAACAATTAATGGTTTTATCAACCGTGTCCTGTACTGGTCTTTTTCTGAATTTATTCTTCAAGAAGACACTGTGTTTTGTAGCTTCTGCTACAAACCGCATTTCTATTTACAAATATATGTTTTCGGATCATCGGCAAAATTTTTTGCTAGAATATTTCGAAAAGTATTTAAAAATAAATTGCTACAAAAATACTAATTAAATGGCCTATTATTATTAATTTTTATTTATTTGTCAGTATTTAGTGTAAGACAATAATTTTTAAAAATTTTATTTATCTACTTATTTATTTTTTATTAAAAAAATTAAGCTTGATAAACCTGTTTTTATAATTTGTAAATAAATTTAGTTGTGTTACACTTCTTTTCAATTTTTGGAGGATATGCAACTGCATATCTCTGCATATATTAATAAAGTTACAGCATATTTGCATAAATTTCATGCATATTACATGATCATATTTCTCAAAATTTTGCTGCATACTTTTCGCTCTCTAGTCATGTATTATTTTTAATATAACAGCAATATGAATGTACCCTCTGGATTTGAAACAAAGGACGGTGACATCGTCAAAATTATTTCATTTATCAAAAAACTTAGTGGACCAGTTTTCTACGATTGCGATCGTACTTATTAAAGATTTTATGTTTTTTGCTTTCAGTATCTTAAAAATATTTTCAAATGTGCAGAATAATGATTAAATAATCAAGGTACGGAAGAAACGTTAATAACAAAATTACTCTTAGTCCGATCCTTCGCGTCTCGGCCGTCCCTGGCACGTGGCATGGTTTACATTTACTAAGCTTTATGAAGGGTCGGCTGTAAAAGTACTTTTTACGTCAAAGCCATAAACGCCTTATAGGTTTGAGGAAACTATAGGCACCCAAGAAAATACCTACCTACTAGGTTCGGCAGTTTAGTTAGATTAACAACCCCTGCAGAGTTGGTCTTCAATTTAGGTCCACCGATTTTTCCTACAGTTGTCATACGCAGGTAATTTATGTTTGTACAAAAATTGTTCTTTGTAAGAACGAACGTCTTCTCCTCTTCTCAAGAAACTAATAACGGTGGCAGTTGAAATAAAAGGGTTTTACAAACAGATTCTGTTTGACAGTCTCTAGTAAGAGAGGAGTAATAAGAGTGGCGAATTTTAAAACGTTAAATAAGCAGACCAGAAGTTAATTTAAAATCAACCACAAAAAAATCTGTTTTTAACTAGACAATTCAAGCAACTTAGAATTGTAAAACTAGTTATTAATAATTTAATTAGTGTGCCTTTTTATTCTGGCCGTTGAGATACAATAAATGCAGACAATCTTTATACATGCACTTCATGGATAAATAAATCTGTAGCCAACCCACGGTCAAATTTGGATTGGCAAACAAACCATCACAGAATATCACGTCATGTATTGTTGGAGGTATATATTATTAGTGGTAATCTTTCGTTTTCGTGGGCGTTTTTATTTATATACATTGCATTTTTTTGTGGTCATTGGGATTTCCATATCAAATTTTATATCCTTTGATAATTTGTATTAGGATACAGAACTGATTTTTTTGTGAAGATAACTTTGAATTTTTACTTTAATTTCTACTGTACAGCACTTTGTTGGTAAAAACTTTCTGCATCGAAGGAACGAAAAGAAGGAAAATACTATTCTTTGTTCAAAATGCTGCTCAAAGCAGTGCCCTAGCTAGTCGTGACCTTTATATCTTATATTTTCTGAGTACGATATAACACTAATATTTGTTAGACTGATATAACTATAATTCCCTGGTTTAACTTTCCATTATCAACAGAATTCGGCCTGTTAAAGTCGAAGATTTGGGAAGCCAAAAAACCACACAAGGAGAGATCCAACAATGAAAGGTCGGTATTTCTGGTGGACTGAATTTTGATAAACAGATCGCTTTATTTCGAGGAATATCTTCGATCATCTTTGTGGATTGATATATTTATTGATGATGAATGACAGTGGCGTAACTACCGGTGTTCCATGTGTTCGTTGGAACACGGGCCCGCCTCTTCAAGGGGCCCGGTCCGGTCACACGAAATTTTTTTTATTGGATTTTTTATATTATTGGTCAAATTACATCCCGAAATAAAAGATTCGAAAATGTGCGGTGATCCCAGGATCGATCATTCATTGCTATTTACGATTTTTTGCTGCAAAGGGCTGGACCTCTGGCGGCATCTCAGTATCATAGACTCAATAAACTCGGGTTTTAGCGACCGGCACCGGCGGCTAGAAATGCAGCAGCATCTGTTTCTAATAAACCTGTCGCACTGTCGCAATACCATTGTGGCAAATCTAAATACCCCATTAAGTAAATTACCAATCTTTAGCCTACAAAAGTATGACTAATTTATGATGCAGGACAACAAAATACTTAAATTTTGTATTCAGATCTTCAGTGAAACTTTATGCTAGAAGACGTAAAAAAAATTCAGTTTCAGTTGTGTTTTATGGAAAGTTTCGTATTTTCAAAACTATTGTTACGAAATAAGCCCATACGCCGCCCCGGTCGACGCCTATGCGTCTTCTAGCATCCACGCGTTGCTTCTCGTATGTAATCTGACTCATCGGCCGCGCGAATGCAAGCGGAAGTCGCGACGAGCCGAGAAGAAGTTTCGATTGCGGCGTCCAGCAAACTCTGAGCGGCGTTCTGGATCCATCGAGAGCCACGCGGGGATTTAAATAGAGGCCACCGTCGGGAACCAAGCATTCATTATTCAGTCAAGAGTGGAGTGCATTTAAGTTGCGAAGTTGTATTCCCAGTTATAGTCGTGTAAATAAATACCAACTACAGAAATAAATTGTTAAGTTTTTACCTACGCCCGATTAATTATTCGCCCGTCAATCGTAACACTATTTTAATTTTGTGTTTGTGGTGCTTTTTTGGAATAATAAAATATATCTGATGTATGTTAGAACTAATTTTTTAAGTAGAAAAACCACTGGACCGCCAAATTATTACAGAATGAGTACCTAGTACCTGCACTAGTTTCAGTGAAATTATCACAACATGTTTTACTTTTCGTACAATAGGAAATAGGTACCTCTTTCGCTGGCTTCAGCGGAAAGATCTTTTTCGAAACTAATGACTAAATTTTTTTTAAGTAACACAATGGGCCAATGCAGATTATCTTCACTGGCTATTATCTCACTTGAAAATCAAATTGCCAGAAGCTTAGATGTGTCAAATCTTGTATCAACTTGTACCCATTGGAAAGCAAGAAAAAAACAATTTTGAGATAAAAAAAAAACGGACATTTTTAGCATTTTTATTTCTAATATATATTTTAGTTATATGTATTTACGTAGTTATTATATTTTGTTTTTTAATTCAGTGTTTCAGGTAGAATGATTTTAATATAACGTAAGCCCTAATTGCATTAATATAACGTAAGCCCTAATTGCAATATACTCATACTTTACTCATTATACTCGTATTTTGAAATAATTTTTATTTCGCTGTTCATTAGGGGCCCCACAGTGTTGTAGAACACAGGCCCGGAGATTGATTGTTACGCCACTGATGAATGATATAAATAAACATGTAACTTTATGGCGTGTTGAACGAAATCCATGTTTAAAGAAATACCATATGAAATCGTATAAAGCAATTACTTATACTGAAATTTTCAGCTATGGAATAATGAAATGACTTAATAATGATAATGTGATTAGTAATAATAATAGTAATAATAAATAGTGTGAATGGAGCATACTAGCAAAATGAATCGTAAATAGCATTGCCATTTCTAGTAAGAGTCCAAACACTGATTTGTCTCACAGTGCCTGTCGTTACAGGCAAATATGTAGGTAAGATATTTTTCCTTTTTTAAGTAGGTATATTTATTCTGTATTACTACAGTGCATACGCTGAAATTAATACTTTTATATTGTTCGTATGTCTGCGGACAGCACCTCCTTGGAATTTGTCATTTGCAACACTGATTTCTAGTATATAAAGGTTATCTGAAAACAAAAATTTTTATAATTTTTCAAAGAAGCGGAATTCGTTGGACTATACTTCAACGGCGAGAGAAGTTCCGTTGAAGTGCTCGTATTATATATGTATAAATACATGCGTATTCTTCACATGTTCGTGAAAATGGGGTGACTCGTTCTTAATTTGACCAATGAAAGATTTGTCATAACGTCATCAACATGGATAATACTATTCACAACATAAAAGAAAAGTAGTCACAGCGTATTACCAATGCAAGGAAAAAAAGGGTCAAGTTCGGTATCGAACCCACAACGGTGTTGTACGGCTTCGCCTCAGGTCACCTTCTACCCGGCATAGCCACTAAGGCCATGCAGACTTGTAAAGTTTG